AGGAGTTAAGAATCAACTGAATGAGAAGTGAAATGGAAAGTTATGTTTGCCATCGGGGCATTGTACAGCACTCACTACTAAGAGGTGGTGCTGTGCTATTTTCACTTGATGGCATGTCTAAATCTGCTGCTTCTGTGTGCAGTGTGGCAACTGAAATTGGATTAGTTGTTCGTTTGTTTTTTTCAAATCAATTCCTCTTCTTTCTGCAACTGTCAGCATAGAATACTGGGAGCTGGGAGAAGTTTACCAAAGACTTAATTGTGTACAGGGCACAGGATAACCCAAACTTGCAAGTAATGAGTCACAAATGGTACATTCCTTCCTTAATGTGTGATGTTGCCCCACATGCTGCTTCCATGCCATTTAGCTGGGGAGCAAGCTTCCAGGAACAGCCTCCCAGAGGCACGTTAATACACAGGTCTGAAACTGTGTTAGTAGGAGAATACGTTACTGTGACATAAATATCTTGGGTAATTGGGGAAGGTAGGGTGGGGAAAAGAGGTAAATTAACTGATGGAATTTCTTTTGCACTTAATTTGAATAGTTCTTTGATAACATTAAGGCACAATAGAAAAAGAGCACCATGAAAAACAGCACATAACACCACTTGCCTATGAACCTTTCTAAACTAAAAATTTTACAGTAATAATGTGTGCAAAGTAAGAAAGAGGCAAGAAGTAGGTGTATTAACTGACTTGGAGGGTGTGGGAAGACTTGAAATTTATTATGTTCTGCAGATCTTGGCAGTCTACCACGGATTCCCCTTGCCCCTCTGCTTTTCAACATGCATAAAGCCCACTGAGATGAGAAATAAACACCATATTGCTATCAGACATGACTAGGAATGTGCTTAAGTAGTGGATTCAGTTTAAGATCCAGTTAAATTGCTGTGTTGATGAGAAGAACTACAGCTCTATGTATATGAACTTGCAGTCATCTGCATGAGAAGAAAGAGGACAAGATTTGAGGTTGGCAGCCTCAATTCCATTGACTTGCTCATCCCAAAAGGCCATTTAAAAATGCAGTGGTACAAGTAGCACTCTTAAAAATATTCTTAGGCTGCTTCCTTGGGAGGATAAACCAAGTGCTTTAATATGAATAGAACCGTGAAATGAGGGAGAGAAAAGTGGGGAGAATGTGTAAGAAACAAGAAGTAGTTCAGAAATTTTGGTGAATAAAATCTTAATGTGGTCTAAATGAAGGGAATGTGTTGGCAGGCTCATTTCCATGGGGACAAGCTGACAGTGCTGATGTTTTCTTGTGGTTCCCTTGCTGAAACCCAGTAAGAGGCAAACTCTCACTCCCAGGGTGAGGTAGCCTTTTCTACCTGTTGCTGTGCCACTGTTTGAAGAAACCTCTGCAGCTTCCTCGGTCCATTGGCTTTGGAGACAGTCACCTTATGCTTAGCAAGATCCTTCTAGGTTGCTGTTGTCTACATTGCATGTTTCATATCCACACAGCATTCTGGCTGTGGGACAGTATCTTGTGATCCTCAGCCTCTGATATTTGGCGCCTAGCAATATTTTAAAAACCTGCTGTTTTCAGTCCGCATGGGTTGCATTTTGCAATATTGCAGAGCTTTTCAGATATCTAAATGGTAATTGCTAACAATTTGCCTGGAGAAACAAAGCTGCAAGAAGCTCTGCCTTGCCATGGGGATGCCTGGATGCCCCGAGGGGCCATGTGTCCACACTGCACTAAAGCAGAGGCCTCATTCTGCATGAAAAATGCTATCCCAGTGGAGAGGTGTTGCTGAGATGTGGTGTCTGGATGGAGCCTTGATGGTTACTGCATTTGTAAAGTGCCCTGTGAGCAGAATTTAAATAAATTTTAATCCCAGGAGATTTGAGTTCAGAGGGTTTCTCCCATCTATGATTTCTGCAGTTCTTTCTTCACATTTGATCACATTGCAATTTTATTATTGCTCTCTTTAACACTGACAAATTTTTCCAAAGCAAAAGCTGGCCGTGAAAATCTGACGATTGGTTTCCAAAATGGGAATGCTTAGCCATTTCATGTTGCAAGCAAAATTATACCAGCATGCTAATAGTTTGACAGGTCTGTTCTTGAGCAGAGCTGTTAAGCAAATAAACAAACAAACAAACTCTCTGCTCATGCTTATATGCTGTGCTTGTGGTGTTTGTTTTTTCCCGACCTCTGAAAATATTTTTAATGAAAAGAATGTGGCTTCAAATGTCTTTTTTACCTCTCTCATATAAATTAATGTCATGCAGGCCATCCCTCCTCCTCCCCCCCATATGTTGCAGATTTTTAGAGTATGAGTGCTCCATACATTATGAAAAGGGTATTTGGAGTAATTTTAAACAATATTCTGAAGTGACCAGGGTTTAAATTTGGTCTGGGATACTGAGCAGACCACACTTCCCACACTCTGCAGTTCCCTTGCTTTCAGTCCCTTAGGAGGGTTATGTAGAAGCTTTTCCTCTCCCAGAAGAAGCAGAGTGAAACATGAGCAGTGGCTGTGTTCTGCTGTAGCTGGCCCCAGATTTCATAGGGACACTCGTGGAGGCACCAGCAGGATCCCGTAAAGCTGCAGGGGAAATGTGGTGGGGCTGGTGCACATTAGTCATCCTGAGTGGGCCAGTCTCACAGGGAGGAACATTGACTTCAGAAAAGCTGTGAAGTCGAGCACTTGGAAATTTTAGGTGTCTCTCTGGAAATAGCAAGCCCACCAGTAGTTAGTAGATTTAAAAAGACAAATAGAGTAAAAATTCCATGAAAATGGCATCCTGTCCTGCTACTTTGCTCTTCTGCATGCCACATTTTCTGCTTGAGTATATTCTGCCACCATTTTAGCACCTCCACTTTGCTGCAGAGTGAATGGGGAACTGTATTTCACTGCTTTTTTAAAAAAAGTTTCTCTCCTCAGACCTCCTTAGTGTTGTGAGCGTTTTTTCTTCAGAGATGTCTTTGTTTCTCTGTTATCTTTAGCATATTCTTTTTGTACCTAAAACTGCACTTCCCATGTCCTTGGGCTTTCAACTTCCTTCAACAAAGCTGGAAAATGGGGGCAGAGCTGAGAGTAGGCATTTTTCCACCTCAGTGTAAGCCATTTTCCCCTCCTTCCTTGTGGCATGGTAAGTCTTGAGGAGAGGACCACAGGCTTTTGTCATTAGGCAGACGTCCATGGTGGGAAATTGGAGTTGGAAATCTCCTGGGCTTGCTGAAAGACTTTGGTTCAAGAAGTAGTAAGGTCAAGGTGAGGTCAGTGTTGACTACTGCACACGTTACGACCCCTAACTTTGTTTCAAAATCAAAACCAGCTTGAGACCAAGCTGTAAAAAGAAATGCCTGTGGTAAAGCCAGTTTACAGAGCAAGCAAAGCCTGAGCACAGTAATGTATTTATAGAAAGCACGTGGATTGGTTAGTAAGGGGGAGAGTGAAGCACAAGAAGAGTTGTGGAAGAAAGCTGAGGCAGTGAATTCTGCAGCATTTCATCCTTCTGAGTGCACCAGTAATGCCTGGCCATTACTTCCATGGAGGGCATTGTAAGGTGTGAAAGGGTCAGGATTTCTCTAAAGAGACTAGTGGTTTGGGGTGCTTCAGTTCTGGGGTGCCAGTCTCAAAAGACCTTGTAAAGAGGTTAATGTTAGTCCAGGCAGAAAGTACACTATTCATGTCCATCATATAGGTTTCTGCCTAGGAAACTCAGAAATTGTTGAGGAGAGAAATGAAGGAACTATGACTTCAGTTACATGTTTAGTAGCATTCTTATCATTATTTGTGAAAAAAGCAAAGACATTTAATGGGCATACCTGTTGCTAGAGAGCTTGACGGATGCAGATAAGAACATTTGGAGATGGTGCTTGGGAAAGTGGTTGGGAGCCTGGGCTGTTTGACTGGTTTAGGATAGACTGCTGGGTGTTACACTGCTGAATGTAACAATGGAGAGCTGGAAAATACCAATATCGGGACCATTTCTAAGTGCTTGTTTAGGAAAAAAAGTACACAACAGCTAATTGATGTCTCTACCTCGTGTAAACATACATTGGAGAGAAAAAGGCTTTTGTTAGAAGTCAGCTGAGGCGAGTTACAGCCCACCAGGGCTGGAGGGGCCTGCCATGCAGCTTGCCTCCCAGCCCTGTGATCTGCATCCTGCTGGCTCCAGCTCTGTTTTCACTGCAGAGCAAACCAGTTTAATTTCCTGGACTGCAATCCCCTGCCCCACCCCACAGTTTGCTTTTTTTCTGTGTTAACTTTCTGCCATTTTAGTGATCTCAATCAGCTTATCATATGATACAATGAGTGCCAGAAGGAGCTCAGTGCTCCTGGGAGAAATATGTGACAGGAGGCTGGAAGGAGGCAGAGGAAGGAAGGGTAGGAGCTCCCTGCTGCAGGAGCTGGGATCTATTAAGTCAGCTCCAGCTGTACTGAGAAACTGTACCCGTACCGTGGTGCAGCTGAAGGGAGATGACGTCTTGTTCTTGTCTAGCCATTGTGAGACAGGCAGAGAGAGCTCTTGCAGGTCTGATGCATCCCTTGCAGAAACCCCACTTTTTTCACTTGGAAAGACCAACCAGTGAGAAATGTCCTAAGTCCTAATCATGGGCTAATCATGTTTACTAGGTAAAGCATGTAATATATCAGCTAGGTACTAGGTATTGGTTCATACAAATAAAACATGCAACATGTGGAATTTATTCTGGCATGTTCATAAACTGTCATTACTGACTATGAGCTTTGCTAAAGTAAACAGAAAGGAAGCTGTGAATATAACCTGTTTGTACTTGATAATCATCATTTTAATGTGGAGAAAAAGAAATGGGCACTGCAATTTGAAGAGGAACACTTTAAATTTGTTATTGTTGTTTTAGCTATCTAGAGCTTTTGTGGTATTTCCTAGGAAGTATCAGAAGGGAAGTATCATTGCTGGGGAAAACCCAGTGACTGGAACTCTTGTCCAAGTGTTTTACTCTGTGTTAGCTGAAGGGATGGGTGAGATGCTGGTGCTGACTGTTCTCTCTCTCTCCCTTACCAGGGTCGCCATGTCAAAACGGGTCAGCTGGCAGCCATCAAGGTCATGGATGTTACTGAGGTGAGTAGAAGAGCCTTCTGCTGCATTAGCAACTGTGTAAAATTTAATCATGAGATGGTATAAGGCATACATCATATTTCTGTTGAAAGGCATGGTCCTTGCATGTGAATGTTTGCTCTCTGCTTGCAGGACCTGACCTCTCCAGTCCATCTGCCTGAGATTTCTGTGTGCCTGTGTGCTGGGGCGTTTGGCCTCCGCAAATTGCATTGTCTAGTCCCAAGGCATATTGGATCCATGTAGCACTCTCTTAGTGCTACAGAAATTTCTTAGAAGATGGGGAAAAGGTTCAGATTGCTTGCTTCCCACTTGTTTTCTCTGAAAAGTATCATCTTGCTTTTACCAAAGAAGAAGATGAGGTGTCAGCTTGTCGTAGAGGACAGTGTTCTCCCTGGTACATCTGCAGCCTACAAAGGGCATATGTTTATTCAAAGGAATGAGTCCCTTGTAGTTCCAAGAAGCCTAAAAGCAGAAACATCTGCAGGAATGATGAGCAGATTGCTAACAGAATTCAGCAATGTAAAGTAGTTACAGTAACTGACCCATGGAGATTTACTGTGGAGCTTTAGATGGGAAAGAGGGGAAATTAACCCAGTCAAAGAAATAAAAATATATGCCTATATTTGAATCCTTGGGCATCTTGTGGTTTATGCTGTTCAAAAAGCAATCAGTTTAAATTAAGTTTTCAAAACAGATGAAGAAAAGCATGGGCTTCTCCCTGTTACTCTATTTGTGGTATGTAGAGTTCCATTCACAAATTAACAACTTCAAATATAAAATCAGATGAGATACTCCCATGTGATATCTGCAAAGCTTGACTGATACTGCTCTTCTGGAGAGAGGTTGTGTCTTTTCAAACTGTCATATTCTTCTGAGCTCCTCAGTCTTGCACAGGGGGAATAATAACATTAATGTGTGTATATTGTACAGAGCAGGGGGTCTTTGGCCAGGATGGTTATAGCAAGCAAAACTTCTGCAAGGATATTGCTGCAGAATATTTTATAGCTTAGTGTGGGTATAGGTGCAGCAAGTAAAAATGGCCTTGGACACAAGGTCCTAGATGAGTGGTGGGGTGTAATGGGTAAACAGGCAGGAGAGGAGGAAAACAAGAGACAGGGTTAGGTCAACTGATAGGGCTTCAGTCTTATCTCTGAATCTCTAGTGATCGATGGGCAGTGTGACTGTTGCTCTCTAACTTCAGCTGTTGTGTCTGCCAACAGCTAGATTCCTTTTTTGTCAGATGGCTTGATAAAGATCAATTTTCAGCTGAAGATTTTCAAAGGCAGCCTTCATGAGGAGGCAATGCTTTTTTTGCTGCAGTTAACAAGCAGAGAAACCAAAGAGGAATGAAGGTACATTGACACACAGTGAATGTTCTTTGCACAGCAAATGTTTTCATCTGTGCAGCAGTTTTACACAGGGCAGCTTGCTGGACTGTGCATGACAATGGCTTCTTCCATAATACTAAGATTGGCTCTATTGCACACTCTCTGTTTTTAATAGCATGTATTAATCACAAACAGTTGTAATAGAGAGGTTGCACAGAATAAAGAAAACAGTTGAAAAATGCTGTCTTTAGTATATCTTTAGTACGGCTAAGCTCATATTGCAGGAGTAAGTTTTGAAACTTACTGTAATTTTTGTCTGGTTTTGAAAAGCAAGTTTTATATTGGCACTGTCTTTTACCTCATAAGTACAATGCTTTTTTAGGGGTGAAGAGTAGTCAGAGGGAGGAGTTTGGAGATTTAGCTAGCCCCATGCAGCTTAAAAGCATTGTCATTCCTACCAGGGGAGCTCATGTGTTTTCGCTTCAAAGAAGAGAGCTCACAGAGACTAAAAAGTGTAAATTCTTCCCAGTTGTACTAACTCAGCTCCACTTTTTAACACCAGGCATGGGTGATACTGTTGCATGTACCATTTCCTCAGTGGCAGATGTGGCTGCAGGATGTTCTTGTCCAGCCTTGTTCGCTGGTTCCTTGCCCGTTTCCCAACACTTGTGCAGGCACAGCTGCCTTGGGGTCAGGTGGTGACCTGGATCAGTGAACAGGCTCTGGTTCCAGTTTTAAAATACCCTTACTCCTCTCCTTCCCCTGGTTACTTATAGGCTGGATTGGTTCATTGATTGAGTTCAGCACATGATGTTGCAAACTCTGGTGTGGTTGCTATGAAGAAGGTGGCATGACACTGGAAAAGATCCAGTCTGGCCATCAGGGAAAGGGCCAGTAGCTCAAATTGATATTTCTGCCTGAGACAGCCATATCCTCAAGCCATAGCCTCAGTTCCTCAAGGGTTTATTTCATGAACACCTCCTTTGCTGGCAAACAATGTGGGTCCATCCTGGTCCTAGCTCACCACAACTTATGGGGACAGTGGGAGGAGTGAACATGGGGACAGAGAGGTCAGTGACTTCCACCCTTAGCACTCTTCCAAAAGAAATGCTGAGGGAACCACAGCCACAAATTCACCTTCTCTGCCTGCTTTAAGAGCTACAGTTAGATGAACTGCTAATGGTAATACCATATCCATGCCCATGGAGAAAGAGGCTTGAGTGGAAACTTTCACAAAACTGAAATTGTGGTTTTCTGATGAGTGGTTGCTTGAAGCTGTAGGTGATTTGTGCCTATGTGCGTGTTTTATTGGCAGCGTTATGCCTTTCTGCTTAAATTCAAGCGGTGCCATGGGGGATATCTGATTATTCTGACTAACCTGAACTGAGAACAGACACAAGACTTCCTTTCTTCTGGGATACCTCTGATCCCATGCTTGTTTTGCCAAATGCTTAACAAATTAGAAAACCTAGTGTATTGGCATGCTCTGTGGGCACACCCCAGATTTTCAGTTTTCAAGGCCATGATTCTGCAATTCACACATTGCTCAGGATCAGTGAAGTTATGTCAGTTCTGGGCTGTAAAGCTTTGATCATCCACACAGGAGGGATGTCAAAGTCAGAGTGAAGGCTTTCCTTAAAATGTTTTGGTTGGCGTGAAGAAAATGAGGTATTATAACCTCTGACTCGAGGCATTGGAAGAAATATTACAACTCTGGAGTGCACATGGCACTGTGGAAATGCTCTTCATCCTTCTCATCTTTTCTTGTGGTTTTCTCTTTAGATTTTAATTTTGAAAAGAATGGTGGCAAGGATGAGAGAAGAGGAGGTAGGCTGAAGCCTATCAGCTTGATCTTTGAATAAATTATGACTAGTTAGTTCTGCTGCCTGAAATGTTGGGGGTTGTTGATGTGCATAAAACTTCCCTGCCTCTTCTAATTTCCTCCTTTCTAAACAAATAAGCAAAATACTTAGAAGGCTGGATCTTTACTGATCTTGAGATCTACAGCACTAAAGCAAAGGCTAATGGAACTGTAAGACCTAAAGATCTATAGGTATCACTACAGAATGGTGCACAGGTAGGCCTTCTTTTGACTTTTGAAGGGCAAAGCTGCAGTGCATGTAGGCTGAAAAAATTTCACTGGAGTGTAGAACAAATAAAACTGAAAACCTCACCAGTTTTCATCAATGGAAAGCTATTCTTATTCCTTGTTGCAATGAGCCCAATGACTGTAAAAGGGGAACAGTGCAAGCTATTGGCATATGTGTGCTTTAAAAATTGTTTTACGAAATCTGCATATGTAGGATGAATCTCACGCTGCATGCTTCTTGTGAGGGAGGCGTTATATGTAGTCTGTTGTTAATCTTTCTATTGTAAGGTCTCAGTTCCTTTTATGACACTGGTTTGGAGAAGGTGCTGTTCAGTCCATGTTGATCCCTTCCACTCACTGACCATACTGTTAGGTTTCCATCATCGTAAGATTACCATGACTCCCAAGATTTAGCAGTCCCTGTTTACTTAGAAGAATCTGTTTTCTTGTGAAGCAAATAGCATTTAAAACCTTAGCAGAGCTTACTTGGCAAATCTGCCTGCATCCAAGCTGTTAACTTGCTTTACACCCTAAAGCCTGACTCTGCTCTAACTGCTTTGGAGCCTTTCCTTGCAGCTGCACGGTTGTTTCCAGGGTTGCTCCTGTGTTCCACTTCCAGCAATGCTTTTCTCTTTGAAAAGTTTAGTAACTGATTTTGAGGGAAAAACACAATTGCTTCTCTTCTGTTTGTTATAACCCCTGACGCTGCTGCTTCTTCCTCCTACCTCTTCCCACACACGCTCTTGGCATCCCTTGGGAAGTTTTCCGCATGCCTTTTTTAATAGCAGCATTTCTCAGCTCTTGTGCCCAGTGTTTCATGACTTGTCCAATCTAGTCTGTGTAAAATTATGCTAAGTAAACAACTGGATACTGTATCCTGCTGATTTATGAAAGAAGTTGGATTGCTTTTAGAGCTTGCCCGTCTTGCTCTTTCTGTGTGTCCTCTGCAGAAAAGTTAACAACCTCAGACCAAAGCCTCCAGGCCTGCAGAGAAACATGGCACATCTCCCACACCTAGACAGGAAAGGCTCCCTGAGTTACTCATTGCCATCTTCCTTACTCTGCTGACTCCTTATTTCTGTTGCAATAGGAAAGTCACTTGGATTGTTGTGAGTCTCTATCTTACAGCCTACATGGCCATAAGATAAACTACATAAACTACAATCATGTGGATGATTTGTCCATTTTCCATAGGACATCTCAAAGCAGTCTGCAGAAAAACTGCTGTTAAATAAAAACGTGGGTTCCCACATAAACTAGCAGACAAAATGAGGGAAAAAATGACATAATAAGCCAAACCAAAAGTTTGCAATATTATGTTCTTGTTTTCCCCATGAAAACTCGAAGACAATCCATGAATTTCAATCTATTTGAAGAAGGAAAAATAAAAAAAGTTGATGGCTCACTCTGGAAGATTGGTAATACAGATCCTTGTCGACCAGTGCAACAGAACTGGGTCAAGCCAGCCTGGAGAAGCTGAATAGGGGCCATCCTTTTAGTGTAGAGATATGAATGCAGTGCTTTTACCTGGCTTTATCTGGCTTAGTGCAGCTGCCTGATAAAGTACTTATGTACCAGTCTGGGCC